TGTATTGAATATTAATAATGCACTATGCCAAAATCAAAACAACTCTGAAAATTTGTCTTAATTTTCTTCTACCCAGTCTGAAACAGGAAGAAATAATCATGACAGACTTTGCTGACTTATATAACACCACTGGTTCTGACAGGTTCTCAGCCACACCTATAATAGTCAAAGTCAGCTACACCCAGAAAAATAAAACATTAGAAATGTATGTAGGGATAAATTGGTTCAGTCAGAAAAGAGTACAGCAAGAGACCTATATGCCAAAACAAAATCAGGAAACTATGAGTGTGTTTTGCTTAAACTATCAGGATTATTCAGGTTGATTTTTAAACATGATTTGGTAAATATATTGGATAGGCTTGATCAAAAATAATTATTCTCAAAATGTGATTTTTTTTAAATTATGGGTTAGCAGAATAAATTTACTAAGCAAAGCAACAATGAACATGTCATCTATCTAAATTTGGTTACCTATGTGTCACTGTATACTCTCCAGGGCAAGGCACTCTTAGGTATAAAGTTCACAGAGCTGGCATACAGGTGCAGAAGAACACAGAGTGGGAGGGTCTGCTTTGTGGGGGGCAAGAGGCAAGCTGGCTTGAGTTTAGGCTACAAGGTGAACTGAGACAATTTTCTTACCAGATCTCGGCCACAGACTTGCTGCTGAGGCTACTTGTGTCACCTACTCTAATTGGCTCATCGTGTTGTTCATGTATTAGTTTTTGCAGGTTCCTCAAGGGATCAACTACACACGCTAATCTTGAAGTTTCCTGTGTGTGAAGATCTCCTGGGGATCTTGTTGAAATGCAGATTCTGATCCAATACGTTTGGTTCAGGTGGGACATGAATCCAATTTCCTCACAAGCTTTCAGGTAGTATGAATGACACAGAGGGGCAAAGAGCTAGTACTGATATTTAGTAATAAATCAGCAATGCCTCGGCCTCACCCTCCCAGTTTCCTATCTAATGGATCTGGGGCAGGAACCCCAAAATTAGCATTTCTAATTAGCTCCTTTGTGATGTTGATACTGCTGGTCCAGGAATCACATTTCAAGAACCACTGATAATAGACTTTCAGCATAGATCTCAGACAGGTGAAAATCATGGAGGGCATAGATAGTAACATATCTATCTTATAGAATACCTATGACGGATGAAATGTCTTTTGTGAATTTGGATTTCAAATTTTAAATAGATAAACTGTATGAATGTTGTCCATCTTTAATTCCTCGATTTTTTGTGTACATTAGGAGAGGCAAGGGAATTCATTTCCACTTTGGATTATAAAGTTCCTTTTAGCTTTTCTTGAACTATATACCTGGCAGAAAACAATGCTACATGAATTTTTAGCATGAATTCTAGGTAAACCCTCAGCTATCTCAAAGGAAGCCTGAAGTCTCTATTTGACATTAATAATTCCATATTGCAGCATTTAAAGGTCCCTAAACATGGACAGATAAGAACACTCCAAAATTCCAGGTTTTAATTATCGTACACTGACAAGTAAATTTTAAAAATGTTGTCTCAGGGTCCTGGAATCAAGCCCTGTGTGGGGCTCTGCACTCCTAGCGAAGTCTGCTTGAGGATTCTCTCTCTCTTTCCCTCTGCCCCTCCCCTGCTCATGTGTGTTCTTGCTCTCTCGCACTCTCTCTCAAATAAATAACTTAATCTTAAAAGAAAAATAACAAAAACGGGCCAAATACAGAGGAAGTCCACACTCATTTCTAATTTTTTTTCTTTTCTCCACCATTTGGAAATATACAACTTCTATCTATAGATTGGCTTTATCAAATGGCATTTTATTCTTATCAATCAAAAAACTTACTTTAAATAGTGTTGGGGAAAAAAACCAACAGGCCCAAAATGTTGTCATTTGCCCCCAGGACAGCAGTCCTCGACTTAATTGCAGTTTCAGACTCTCCCAGAAGTGTGATCTTTCAAAAGTCAATCTGAAATTTCCTAGTTAGCATTAGTGAGATAATCTGTATGATACCACCTGACCCAAAACAATCCTTTCTTTTCTTTTGCTGATGACTTTCTCCCCTCACCCTCTTCCTTCTGCCTATAAAAACCTTCCATTTTGCACAACTCCTCAGAGAGCCTGTAAATTTACTAGAGGGGTTGCTGGTTTCTGAGTCCCTGAGTAAAGTCAGTTACATCTTCAAATCTACTCAGTTAAATTTTTGTTCTTCGACACTGAAGACTTTAAAATAATTCAATCAATCTTTACAAAATGTGTGTTATGAATGTACTTAACATATTTGTTTCTGATGTTTCTTACATAGTCTATTCCTATATTTGAAAGTGGTTATTTTATTGTTAGTGATAAGGATAAGTGATAAGGATTTGAGATGAAATGTGATTTTTATTATTTTCTTTTATGCAACATTATCCTTTCAAAGAGTTTTTTAAAACATTTGCTCACTTAATTTTCCTGAACCCTACAAGATATACAGGGGCTTATCCATTCTTAGGAATGCCTTTCCAGCTCTCTCTTTCACCTGTGTAAGCAGAAAGACAGATGCAGTGCTCCTTCAGATTTATTAGGAAAGCAGATAAGAAAAGACCAGAGACATGCAGAAATATACATAGTTTGTTTTGTTTCATTACCCTAATCAAATTGAGAATTTTCAACTGGTACAGGGTTTTTAAAGCTAAGACACCACAAAATGGAGTTAGCTTTTCTTTTCTATGATAATAAAAATATTCAACTCTAAAACATCTATTGTGAATAATTTCCAAGTAACAGCATATTCCATTTTCTTTCTTTCTTTTTTTTTTTTTTTAAGATTTTATTTATTTATTTGACAGAGAGAGAGAGAGTACAAGCAGGCAGAGTAGCAGACAGAAGGAAAGGGAGAAGCAGGCTTCCTGCCAAGCAGGGAGTCTGGCTCAGGGTTCAATCCCAGGACCGTGGGATCATGACCTGAGCTGAAGGCAGCCGCTCAACCGACTGAGCTACCGAGGTTCCCCCCATTTTCTAAAAGTAAACATAAGTATGGATATCGAATTTTATAAAATATTTTTCATAACTCAGGAGAATTGAAAGCTCAGTAAACTTAGAGAGGTATTTAACAAAGCTAATTTATAATAATTATATCAAATTTCATCTATCGTGGTATTCCTGTAGAATTTTTCAACTTGGAATACTTTTGAGATCTGAATCAAGATAAAAATTTAATTGTATATTTTCCCTAACTATAGATTTAATTACAGAAGAACAATTCATAATGATTTTCTATTGGTAACTGATGAGTAACTTATATGAAATAATCCATAAAGATAATAAAATGTTTTATTAACCAACTCAATTGGTAAACAGGCCAGTGGAGTTTTTTAAATTTTATCAGTCATACAAATAACATTTAGTTTTGAGTGTAAACGGAGAACATGGGTTTCCTAAAAAAAGACAAATCATACTTCCTTTGTGAGATAAACTTTAATAATATTTGAAAATATTTAAGCTAGCTCAAACTGCTTAATACAAATTCATTTTCCGTACTTTCTAACAATTTTGGTAATACTTTAGGGTGTCTTATTTTGCTAACTTTTGGCCTTTAATTATACTTTATGTTATAAAGTATATAGTTTCTCTTTCCTATTTAAGTAAATATAAGAAATGAAAACATAAACAAGCACATAGAATTAATGTTTGGCTAATAGTTTTTAATTGCTCAGAAAATGTTCTGCACCTACATTAAACAATATAACATGGCGTGATTTATTTCCAAATTTTTAATGTTATACTTAAAAATTTCTGAACTGGTACCATTGTCAGAGTAATGTATACCTCAGACAACATAAACTGCATTACCCTCCAAAATTATTTTACCCACAGTTGCTATAAAAATCGTACATTATGGACATCCTATAAAATATAATATTTATTTATTAGAACTACTTTTATATTCTGCTCTAATACCCAATTTCACATCAAGAAATAGCTTTAATCAGAAGCTGTAATTGAGAATAACAAGAATAATTACAGAATTTTTAAAAAATCAAATACTCTTTTCAATAGTTAACTAGTTAATAGAGTAAAGAAAATGAAACAGTTTTTTGGTCTGAATGAGAAATTTCCATGGAATATATGCTGCCATTGTCTGCAAATTTAGAGAGTTTGGCACAAAAGACTATTAAAATATTATTTAAATATATGACTGCTTTCTAAATTAATACAATATAATATCCTATTAATATGTTACACATTCAAAATAATTTATTAACTCATGTGTTCATTCGTTTATCCATCATTCAACAAATGTTTGGTTGAGTGTTGCTTTCATAGATTTCCATGTTTTAACATTTACATGCTAGAAATTCAGTATTTCTGATTTTCCATTTTCTTAAAGTAATTACCAAGGTAGGCAGAGTGTTACATTCCAGTATGGATCCTCATTCTGTTTTTACCATATTTAAAAGGCTAAGCACCATGTGTCAGGCTTGCAAGTCTAATGCCTGCCAGGCTGGTTTCACAAATGCTTGAAGATGGTGATCCTCTGCCAAACTAGACAGTGCATGCTCTTGTCAAGGTATTTGTATTTTAAAAAGGTAATAGTGCATCCCAGTGGGCAAGCAAAACCTATTTGTGAGTCTAAGTCACACCATGGGCATCAAGGTTGCAATTCTTTCTTGGAAATTCTCCCATCTGATCCTTATAAAATCTCTGGCTCACATTATTGTGGGCTTGTTCTGGTCCATGCCTTTCCAACAAACCTAGAAGCTGTAGGAACCTGAATATGGATTCATATGGGCAGAGATCCAAGGACCAAGCGCTGAAGACTCCTGAAAGCGACAGTGCTGAGAGCATCTCCGCAGTGTGAAAAGTGTAGTGAGAAATGAGTACTTATTTCCCAAACTGAAGACTGAACCAAAGAATACAAAAGTCCTTCAATACACAGCCACTCGGGTAGAGAAATCAATTCTCTGGCACCAAAGACAGTGTTTCTAAGAGTATTTCTAAGAACAATCTCCCCAGAATTTTGAAGGAAAATATTTAATTTTCATCTCAAATTAAAATGCATTTTTTATTAGCCTCGACAATACCCAGCTCTCCCACGACACGCTTCCGTAGCATAGAGAGTAACATAAGTTTTCAAATAGAAGATACAAGAACGCACATTGGTAGAGTCCTGAAAAGGGCAATATATACATGCATAGAAAGGAAAATTAACACAGGAAACTTTTCTTTCTAGAGAATATGGAAGTTACGTGAGACGAGGAGAATTTCAGGGAACCTTGTATTTATAGCGTCCTTATCTATACATGACTCAAAGTTTACTTCCAATAAACAAAATATTAGCAGATGCTGCTATCAATTTACATTCAACGAACTCCTACATATGCATTTGTAGATGTTTCTCTGTTAAAACACACATTTATTTCTTGACACATGTCTTTGCTAGCGTCCTAAATTTGGGTTCCAGGTGATCTAGAAACTCAAGCCCTTCTTCTTCCTGCCGATCGCTGCAGCAGCCTACAGAGCCCGCCATAGACCCTTTCCCTTCGTAGTTATACGAACGCACGTAGTCTTCAGAATGTTTATGCTCCTCGTCTTGTCCACACAGGTACACCTTCTGTATCAAAAAAGAGCACATTTTATTATTTTTTTAAAGACACCTAAACATATTAGCATAAAAATAATGTCTTTGATTTACCTTTTACTGTTTAATTTTTAATCAGAGTGTGTCCTCTAATGGATTCCTACATATAAAAAATGCACATGATTGGTCTGTATTATATTCATTCTGAAAATATAGCAGATATATAAATGCTCCTAGTGAACACATTTATGAAAATTAAAGATACACGCCTATCACAAAACTAACTTACGATTTCCCATTTGAACATAAGATCTGTATAGTTCCAACGTCTCTTTGTAGGTCTTCACATATTTGGGGAACCCATACAGGCTATGATTCTTCCATTTATATGCAATTATATGGGGACAGTTATGGAATATATTCAACTGGATAATATTAACCAGTATTGGTTAATCTGAACCTAAAATAAGGAACTAAAACCCAAAATAAAAGCTTGACAGTCTATCTGGTTGATGTTGATAGCCAGGCCTTTATGACTACACAGAGGATTCAATATACTAAAAAATGTTTATAATTTATGATCCATGTATCATTCTATGCAAATCTTTCACTCCAAGTGATTTTTCTGGTAATTTTTAGGGAAGAAGCTACTGGTCCTCTTGTACTTCCTAAATACATATACATATGCCCCTCCTAGATAGTTATGCAGTTTTGTAAACCTTATTTTAAAAATTAAACTTGAAAAGATCGTTTTTCTATTTGGGCTTGGGCCTGGAATCCATATCTATGATAATTAAAGGACTTAAAAGGTGATGAGTTCCAGGTGCCTGAGGAGGAAAACTTTTGAGAAATCTTTATTTAAAATCGTTTTTAGGGGCCTCTGGGTGTCTCAGTGGGTTAAACTGTTGCCTTCCACCCAGGTCATGATCCCAGGGTCATGGGATCGAGCCCCACACTGGGCTCCTTGCTCAGCTGGGAGCCTGCTTCACTCTCTCCTCCCCACTTGTGCTCTCTCTTACTATCTCTGTCTGTCTTTCTCCTTCTCTCTCAAATAAATAAATAAAATCTTTTAAAAAAAAAAAAGTAAAATCATTTTTAACTTTCATGGAATATGAACTCGAAGACATTGGCACTCACCTCGCCAAGCCGAGGTTGGGTGAAGCTGTGCCAGTCAGTATATGTGTATCTTCCAGCCTCCATTACTCCCTGTCCTGCTCCCTTGACAGATTCCAAGGTCTGATGTCCACCGCCTTTGCCAGAATCCAAAGTGTAGCCACCTTTGACCATCTCAAAGCTTTGCTGTGTTTTGACTCCTTGGCCACCAAGAGTGCCAACAGACATGCTTGTGTCACAAATATTGGATGTCTGTGTGGGGAGTCTAATATTTGCTTCCTAAAAGTAAAGTTAGAGTTATAAAATGAGTGAGTCAAATTTAAACTAACAATTTCTTTTCATTTTTCTTTCCCATCAAAATTGATTATGTTGAAGTCCGAACCCTCAGTGCCTTAGAATGTAATCTTGTTTAAAAAGAGGTCATCATATATGTATTTAGTTAAATTTAGATGAGGCCACACTCAGGTTGGGTAAGGTGAAATTTGAACACAGACATGCACAAGGGGAGAAGAATACCATTGAAGATTTGATTTTAAGTCAAGGAACCACCAGTTTATGATTCTTTGCAGTCCTATCAATAGGTCCCCCAATGATAGGTCCGTGATCAAATGAGCAAGACTAATACAAAGCAAAGGTCAAGCAAAGCTTTATTTTGCACCAAGCATTGAGAATCAAACAGACCGTCGGGGCCGCCTCTTACAGAGAGGGTGAAACCTCCCTGCCTTACAGACTAACTCTTATAGAGCAAAGGCCATGTGGTTGAACCTGGCCACACACAGGTGGCCAATGAGATTGCAACACACAGAGAAAGCTCCACAGTCATGCTAGGTCACTCACGGGTGGCCAATTGAATTATAATTCACCCCATAGTAGCTATTTGAACTAGCCTATCACCTTGGTCAGAATTGGCGTCCAAAAGGCGGGGCCCACACTCCTTGGTAGCTAGGGAGACAGTATGCGCGCTCCACTGATTGGATGTCTCCACTGGCCCGACTCATTCCTGCATTCGGGCTCTGTTATCTCCACCTGGCCTGACCCGCCCTTGTATTTGGGCTCTGTTATCAGGGACTGGTCAACCATATTCTACTGGTTTCCGGGACTTGCTTTAAGTAAGTTCCCCGGGTGGGGCGGGGGCAGGCTCAGTTTAAGTTTTACTGCATAAACAACAAAATCACTGTTTAACCGCATGGAATCGCTCTGGCCAAATAGGCCCTTACACTATGAAAGTAATACAACAGAATTATAAAGTTAAACGAGTTAATCCAGGGATGCCTGGTGGCTCAGTTGGTTAAGCACCTGCCTTTGGCTCAAGTCATGATCTCAGGGCTCTGAGATTGAGGCTCATGTGCTCCTGGTTCAGCAGAGGGTCTGTTTTTCCCTCTCCTGCCCCTCCTCACTGCTCATGCTCTCTCTCTCTCACTCTCTCTCTCAAATAAATAAATAAAATCTTTTAAAAAAATGAGTTAATGCATGCAAAACACATGGAGTTCTGCTTGACATAGTAAGCGCTCAATAAACATTAGTTGTCATTATTATTACTATCATTATGTAATACTCAGCTATTATCATTGGATCACCATACAATTTATATGAAAGTGAAATCTAATTTACCATCACTTCTTCTCCAGGTCCTTCAGTGTTTGACACAATTAAATTTTGTTGGGCTACATCTGGAAAACACTTCTTTACTGTTCTCTTAGCAGTAACACAGAAACAAGCAAACAGAACACCTAAAAAATAAAAAAGTATTTAAGTAAAATAGTATTTATTTTCTTGCTGGTATATATCATTTTTTTTTTTAAATTTCTTTTCAGTGTAACAGAATTCATTGTTTTTTGCACCACACCCAGTGCTCCATGCAATACATGCCCTCCTTAATACCCACCACCTGGATCCCGCAACCTTCCACCCCACCCTACCCCCTTCCCTTCAAAACCCTCAGGTTGTTTTTCAGAGTCCATAGTCTCTCATGCTCATTTAAATCATGCTTTTTAAAAGTTTCTTCACAGAACTTTAAGGAATTTGTTCCATAAATTAAGATCCCTTTGGGTTATGAAATTTAAAACAGAGTATATAGACCATCTCTGTCTTACTAAGATTATGTTATTAGGCTAAATGAGAAAGAAATCAGTTAAAAGTAAGAAGGATGAACTGAGCATAGTTTGTTAACAGGTCTCTTCCCAACTCCAGAATTAACTTAAATGTTTCTCTTCTTTCCTCCACACTGAAATAGTAACTCCCTTTGATTAAAATTTAAGCTAGTATTACTGATAATTCAAATCCATACAGAACACACTCAAAGGGCATTAGGCATAAATACAAACATGAAAGGCAGTTACTTAAAACCTGTGGCCACTTTTGAAATTGTAATCACTGTGCTAAGGGGCATGTCCAATCTAACCTGCAACTCAAGTCAATGAATTAGGACACAGTAAAGACTATGTGGAAAGCCTATAAATGCAAATAGGTTCTGTAGTCAAATAAATGACTAAAAAAGAAAGGAAGGCTAGAGGGAGGGCGAGTGGGAAGGAGAGATAAGGGTGGGCAATGATTTCCATCACTTTTGCATCTTGAAAAAAAGTTTGCCGAATGCAAAATCTTAACATTCTTTGCATGCATTACTTTTCCTCAGTGGCTCACCATGATAATTTTCCACTAACGAGTCTTTTTTTTTTTTTTTATATAATTCCAATTTTCTTTCTTTTTCAAGTTTATTTGTTTTTTTTTTTTAATTTTTTTTTTTTATTTTTATGTAATTCTACACCCAACGTGGGGCTCAAACTCACAATCCTGAGATCAAGTGTTATGTGTACCTTTGACTGAGCTGGCAGGCACCCCTCACTGGAGTCTTCTTCAGATGTATGTTAAATACCTTTATTAATAATAGCGAGCATAAACATCTAAGCAAATTTTGGAAGTACTCTTCACTAATTCTTCCTGTGCATAAACTTGGCTGGTTAAAAGACTATGTTTTGTATGGGAGGGAATCTCAACCAACCTCTTTATTTTACTTGTGGAAAAATGAGCTCGAAAGAAAGGAAATGATCTATCCTGTGTCTCATACCTTCTTCTTAGAAGAACTAAGGGTTCAGCTCTGAAAATTAGTTTAAGTTTAATCTGCTCTTACTGATATGTTTCTTCCATATCAAAACCTCCAGTCATATAGTACACACAAGATTTTAAAAGGACACATTTACCAAAGGCTATAAAAAGTCATTAAATAAAGAACCACCATATATATTTTTAAATATTGGATAAGCCTTCAACTAACACATTCTAGATAATTATACTTACATAACAGCAATGCAGAACCCAACACCATGGCAAGAATAGCCCATCTTCCAAGTATTACATTTGGCTTAACATCTCTCACATTTTTTATATTCATTTTACAGTCTGATGGAGTTGTACAGTCACATACTCTCACTGTTAATATGTGTTTTGCATTTAAGCCATGTCTATCTTTTATTATGATAGGCACAGTGTAATAGTTATAATCAAGAATTTGCTGCTGACGGAGAATGGCAGTTTTACCTAGAGCAAAAAAGGAATATATGTTGAAACTTTTCAGTTGCAATATTAATCTTACTTGATATGCTTAGGGTAGGCTGGGGGAGAAAAGGTGCAGAATTTAGCTTAAGGAAAAACTCTAGGGGTTCTTTTTTTTTTTTGAGAGGGAGAGACAGAGGAGGGGCAGAGAAAGAGGGAGAGAGAAAATTCTAAGTTGACTCCATGTCCAGCACACATGACCTGAACTGAAATCAAAAGTCCCACCTACACCTAACCTACTGAATCACCCAGGTGCCCCGCTTTTTATTTCTTCCTTTCTTTTTCTTTTTTTTTTTTTTTAAAGATTTTATTTATTTATTTGACAGAATGAGACACAGCGAGAGAGGGAACACAGCAGAGGGCATGGGAGAGGGAGAAGCATGCTTCCCACTGAGCAGGGAGCTGGATGCAGGGCTGGATCCCATGACCCTGGGACCATGATCTGAGCTGAAGACAGTTGATTAACCCACTGAGCAACCCAGCCGCTACCCCCCCAACCCTTGCTTTTTATTTCTTAAAAATGATTCTGATTTCTTGAAAAACCAGAAAAAAGAATTAATATTGCTCTATATTTATATTAGACTTATCTATACTTAACGTTACTCAAATACTATATTAAAACGGATTGATGTGTTTTCTTAAAAGATATTTGGAACTAGAGACTAAATATATTATCTATTGCTTTAAAAACATACTTTTGCTCTTTTTTCTGGGCTGCCAACACCCCATTCAGACTGAGGAAGACCCAGAAATTTTGGGTTCATGGGAGTCACAGCCACATGGGCTAGCACCGGATTCACCCAGGAAGCCAGGGGGACGCAGGCAGCATGCATCACCATCCAATCAACTTTGACAAATATGACTCAGGTCACTTTGGAAAAGTTAGTGTGAGGCATTACTCCTTAAATAGAAACTGGAGCCTCTGCCCAACTGTCGACCTTGACAAACTGTGGACCTTGGTCAGTGAGCCCACACCAGTAAATGCTGCCAAACACAGGACTGGAGTTGTTCCTATCGCTGATGTGCTGTACCCCACCTACTGCAAAGTTTTGGGGGAAGGGATAGCTCCCAAAACAGCCTGTCATTGTGAAGGCCAGATTCTTCAGGGGAAGAGCAGAGGATATTAAGTGTGTGTGTGTGTGTGTGTGTGTGTGTGTGTGTGTAGTGGGGAGGAGGACTGTGTCCTGGTAGCTTGAAGCCATGTGGAAGGAGGTTCAATAAACACTAACAAGAAGTTTAAAAAAAGAAAATTAAAAAGCAAGGTATTACCCTTTTTTGGGGATCAAAAAATAATTTCCTAAAATGAATGTGTATTTATCATAATGAACTAAGGTGAATGTCAAAACCATCAGTCATCTTAAGTTCCTACCGATTAGAAGATATAGCATAATTACATACCATCCTTTGTTTCTAAATTCCAAAGTTTGTTGGCAGAATTATCCAGAAAGAATTGAAAAGGTGGACCATTCTCAGGTCCATCAGCATCTACAGGTTCCAGAACAGCATAATCCTTATCATGCTGACAAATTGTCACTTCCTTATCAATCTGTGGTGGGTGATCATTAAAGTCTTCCAAAAGAACTACTAATGTTCCCGTGCAAGATCTGCCATCTACGAAAAATAAAAAAATAGGATATTTCTTTGCTTAAAAACTTATTTTTGACATCTCTGTGACACACAGCTGACATCTGCTTTCTAGTGGTTGTCTGAACTTGAATTTCACACACTTTGGGGTCCCAAATACCACTGCTACAAATACAAAATAGTGACATGTCACTCTTCCTTGAAGAGTGATAGCTCTATCAGATGTTATCTTAAGGTGCTTTTTTTAAATGAAAAGGTATGACATGATGAGCAATGTCACTACAGAAGAGCCACTTGAAAATAAAATTGATTCCTTACAGCTTATTTTGTGAAGAGCATTTGTTCATCTGCATATACAAAGACTTCACTTTAGGTCATCAGTTACTTCCTTGACTTCCTCTTCTGACTCATTTCCTGACATATTCTTTTCCCAAACTTTGTAAAACTTCTCATCAAACCCACTGGATGCACCCTTCCCTGTCTGCTTTGGTACATTCTGTCGCCACTTCTGGGAATACTTTTCTCTTTCTCTTTGCCTGATCATACTTTGTTATCCTCCAAGAATCTGCTCAGATATCTCCTCCTCTTGAAACTTGCCGTGACTTTTCTAGACAGTGGCAGCGATATTCTCCTTTGATTTCTCAGAACACTTTGCTCGTCATTGACTTACTCGCTGAACTGTGAACATGATCATCCTCAGAGCTAAGTCGTATTCGTCTTGAGAACCTAACGCTCTGCCTAGAATTTCTTGGCTAACTTATAACTTCGTAGTAACACCTTGAACATAATGCAATTACTGTTTTATACTTTGCAAAAAACTTTGTTGAGTAAACCATGAAATAAGTTTGCACCTTTCCCCTAATTCAATAAATATGTTTTTGACCATAGGAGCTATTACTCATCTCCAGATAACCACTGTTATTGGCTTAAAGCATTTCACCTTGTCTCAATATTTTAAATGAAAATATTGCTGATGATTTGTGTTTAAGAGATAACGAAGTTCAAAAAACATGTCTAGATTTTACCATTTGTGATAAGGTAATAAACTACAATAAATCGTAAGCTCTCAAAACTGAAATAAACAGAAAAATAATTGATCCAGTTTCTCGTTTTTTGCTTCTAAATTTGAAGCATTAATAAATTCAGCATTTATCATAAAGACCACTATAAATCATATGCAAATACAATCCATTTTTCTTTGAAATAACACTTAAGCCATATCTTGTAGTATATTTCAGTGATTATTTGATTATTTAATTTATTAAAAGTTATTTTTAAATTAATTACTTCATAAAAGGCCACTGTTGCATATATCTTTTCCAAAATTATTCTATCTAAACAAATTTTACAATATCTAGAAATAAAAGAGAGCTACGGCTCTTCTTTTTTTTTTTTTTTTACAGCTCTTCTAATAAGAAATCTGCAATAGAACATAAACATTTTGATACTGCCAGAAATTTATGAAATTTGTAGACATACAAGTGTCAACTTCAAAATCAGCAAACTAAAAAAGATGTGTTAATTAGCACAATTAATCTAGTTAGAGGAACATAATATAAATGAGAAGCAGTGAAACACCCTTTTATAGAAAAGATACATTACTTGTGATAATTAACATATCATTCCCAGGGAAAGGAGACTTAAGAGGTATTAAGAGAAGAACTGAACACGGACGAGTGGAAACAATCACAGAAGATGTCACTGTCATTCATCTGAAGCAGTTAAGTGACCCGAATTTCAAACAGGACGGGCAGTGCTATACTAGGCAGAGGATACATGAAACAGTGCTTTCTAGAGTGATAGCACAGAAACCAATCTGCTTGGCAAAGAAGACTGACACAAGAAGCAGAAGTAAATAAATTGGATTCAAAGAACGCTAAAAAAATGTCTAGGTTATCATCCTGAAATATTTATGAGCAGCAAAACTAAACATTCATCTGGAAATATAAGTAATTATTAATATATTTGGCCCTTTGGAAGTATAAATTCATTTTATTTACGAAAATAAACAAAAATGTTGATGTCACCAGGTGGTCTTACATTAAAATGTATAACATCCATGTCTTTACTTCTTTGTGAGCACACGCAGATTATCCATGAGCCTGGGACATAGACTCTTACAGTTCAGATTTGGCATTTCATTTCCTTATATTTTTAGCGACAAAAGACCACGTTAATTTCTTCTATTTCTATTGTCTGTATTTTCCTTCTCTTCAAATAATATTTCATTTTCCTATCACTAAGCTTCTCATTTCTGTGAAATGAGGGACAGCTCTTAACTGATTTCTACTTATGATATCCATACAATCTTTTATGGGGAAAGTTGTCATACCAAGAACCTCTTATGAGAATACAGTAATCCTTTCATTTATATCATGTGAGAATTTGACTTGTCTTCTGAATTCTAATTTCTATAGTAACTTGCCTAGTACCTGGAACTTACTAGACTGTTAACATTTGTGAAATAAATGAGGAAACATAAGTCCTTCTTTGACATCATAATCGTGCTGTTGAACCACTCTGCTTTCACTTCTGCTTCTATAGGAGCAGCAAATCACCCAGGGTTTTAGAGTGGCAGCAACATTATTTCTCAGCTAATGTTTTCTGCATTCTTTAGTGGCTTTTTTTTTCTACCTGTATTGAAAGAACTTTTAATGTAGTTCTGTAGTTTTAATGTAGTCTCTGTGAGAGATATCAAGAGGAAGGGAGGTTCGTATGCAAGTGGTTAAGTGATGATATTTACAAGGACATTTACATTTAGTTTTTCTTTTAGATGTTGAAACATAAGTATTTTTGGCACATGGAAATAGTACTATTCAAGTGTTTGTTGGTGTATTTTTGTGAAGCATATGTTAACCTACTAGCACATGTATACAAACATACTAGTAAATATAGGGAGGTTGCTGTTTGTGGGTCTCAGCCTGTAGATAACCAATCTTGTGGCTAGACTGGCCTTTGTGGTTCTTATATGACTGCAAGGTGTCCCAACTATCAGGAAACTCTGGGGGGAAAAAAGCTTTACTGTACTTATAAGTCCTGGAAATTACGTGGCACTTCTGGGGCCACACAGAGAGGATGTGGGGGTCAGGGAGAAAAAAAGCAAGCCTGGGATACTCCTTTTATTGGGGTCAAGAGTGGGGGTTGAGAGTTTCTGGAGTCCAGTCTTTAGTGGTGAATTTAAAGCCCAAGAGTAGAAATTTAAAGACTTGGAAGTGAAAAAACAAGCTGCCCCAGGGGTCAGTTACTGAAATCAAGATCTCTAAAACAAAGGAGCCTGGGCTGGTAGGGCTACTGGAATGTGGTCTGAATCAATGTCTTGTCTGCTTGGTAACGTTTATTCCAGATAGGGATCTTTGAAGCAGATGCCTTAGCAATCTAAGCTTAAGTCAGGCAGGTACTTGCATTGCAAAACAAACAAAACTGTTGGGGTATGATACATTACAGTGGTCCACATTCAAAAGTTGTCTACTGTGAGGAGTGTACGTTCAGAAGGATTTGGAAATGACTACTTTATGACATTTGAAGGACATTTCTTCACTAGATAAGTTCTAGAATTAACTAACCTTGGAGAAGGACTGCAAACCACAGCAAAAGACTTAGTCATTGTTTGACCATTTCTTAGGAAATAGGATACGTCCATTAAGAAAGGCTCAAACAGACCTACCTTGAACCCAATTGTTTTAGAAGGACTAAACCCTTTCAGGAAGTTCAAGTCATAAACATCTAAGTATGTACTCCTGAAAACAATGGAGATCCTAGAGGATGCCACCATGTCTTTGGCCATTCGTCCTCTCCTAGTTTTCATTACTGATGCACTGGAGCTGACATTGGGCTGTCTCCAACAAATTGAGCAATCTGTGCAAATCTGTTTTGCATTAAATTTTGATATGAAAGTAAACAAAGTTCACCCCAAGACTTCCTTAAAAATATATCCTCTATTTCTACAAAATTGCACTTACCTGTATCCATTGCAACCACAGAAACATTGTATTGGTCGTTTTTTACAAATTTTGATTCTCTATCTAGTACTTTTATAGTTCTCAAGTCACCAGTGTGTTCATTAATTTCAAACCAGTTATCTTCATCTCCTATCTTCTTATACCTAATTGTTAAAAATCAAATGTAAATGCTCAAACCAAAGGGCGGACATAATTTCAAAACATATCATTTTGAATAATACCTTACCTTAAGCCTTCACCACTGCGTGTATCAGGATCCAACGCTTTGTATCCCTGCAATTCTTGTCCAACTTGGAGGCCATCTTTACTCTGAATAACTTTCACTGGCGGTTGGCATTCAGGACCCTCATCGCTGTCTTTAATTTTAACAGTGACAGTTGTAGTGCACATAGTAGGAGTTTTTGAATTTGCTGCTTTAGTAAATTGTGCTTCATTAAGGACACCAACTTGCAAAACAACCTGGCGATTGACTTCATAGTTCAATGGCTGTTTAATAAACATACTTTAATCAGTCAATCTGTAATACTTTATGCAGAAGACTTATAATTAGGATTCCAAATTTTAGCACAAAAAGGAATATCATTTTTGTGTATAAAATGTTACCAAAAGCAGGTGCTAATGTACTTAAAAACTAATGGTTGACTTCCTATAATGAGAAATGCTATCAAATGCAAAATTATTGATGATTTAACCAATTTCTCTTCTCACCTTTCTTCGGGAAGATCCTGCCTTTAGTTTTTTTCATTATAAGTTTAAATATTAATAGAAATACAAAATAAGTGACTAAATCCAAATTTATCAAGTGGGAGAATAGTGATAACTGAGACTACAGAAGTATATAAAGAGTATAAGAAGTATATAAATAATTAGACCACTGGGACATGAGATTTGGCTATAATGGAGCAGTTACTCTGAGTGTATGTATAAAAATTATAGTGATACTATCTAGTAGCATCTTTTGGAAGCACATTATTTTTAGGGCTTTTTAAAAAAAATTATCATATTTGAGTTTATATAGATCCTAATCAAAATGCTCAGTCCTGAGCTGAATAAGAAGAAAGAATGTTGAAACAATGGTTAAACAATTAGAGACTAAAATCCATCAAGATAACAAAAAAAGGAAAGCAAGAGAAAGAAACCTAGACCCCCCCCCCAAAATGATAAAAAAAACCAACAAAACAACAACAACAACAAAACTCCAGGGAAAAAAAACGAAAAAGAGAGTGAGAAAAAGAATAAGCAACATAATAATTAAGGGGCATTTTCTAAAAATCATAGGAGGAAAGTACAACTTTTGTCTGTAGCTTTTAAGAAAATCCACTCTCCCAAAGATATTAATCAGGGAAAATATGTTAGAGGTTAGGAAAGGCAATGCATAGAAAGACTCAGAAAGGAACCAATTATGTCTTTAGTCATCCCACCCTGAATATGCCTGATTTCATCTGATCTCAGAAGCTAAGCAGGGTCAGCCCTGGTCAGTACTTGGAAGGGAGAAAGGAGCCAGATTTAGTTTATCATTCTGGGTGGTACTAATTGCAACTGTATTTTTAAAATCCCAAAGTGCTGGCTACTTCAAGTATAGGAGGATTAATGGCAATAGTTGCTATATAGTTAATAAATAGTCTGTGTTATACAGCATAGAGAAGTAAAAGTATAATATGAGCATGAAAGCAATTGAAAAGGCAAGAGGTTTGATGTCCAGTAGTGATTCTTCCATTTCTCTTTCTTGTGTTCCATAAAATTAAAGATCAAGTGGCTGCCTAAGACTCCTTCTAAGAACAATATTTGATTATTAATACAATATTTCTTTGCCTGGGTTTTCTCCATCAATAGAACAATGTGTTTTGTGCCTGCAATGCCCATCTTCTAAGAAAAAAATGAGGGTAAAATAATAATAATAATAATAAATTTAAGTAAACAAATGTAAATCATTTCAGCATTACATTGAAATTCTCTAGTCATATGTTTACAGAAATTACTATGGAGATATATAGTATATAGGACATAGATATGTAGAAATCAATGCCCAAGTGTACATTAGTATTTTTTAAAGTATTGTTTGATTGTTTTGTTGTTGTTTACCTTGACAACACACAAGACTGCTTCATTTGTATTTGGGTCTGTGCTAATTTTGAAGTTTCCATTTTCGTTTCCCTGTAGGATCTTGTAGACAGCCTTTGAGTGAGGAGTGTTTGGCAAGTCCTGGTCATGTACCGCCATTCGTAAAATCTCAACGTCAATTCTGTTTTCTTCTACTTCTGTAAAATACTAAAACAATTGCCTCTTGTTATGATAAATTCATAGCTTTAACAACATGATTTTCTACTTTAACATTTACATTTAAAGAAAAAGAAAATAAAGTGATATAGGAACATGTGATCATAAATTGGAAAGAACTTACAAAATTCATGCATAGATTACTTCTTTCCTTACTAAACTGCTTTTTCAAATCTTATCCATTCTTCAAATACTAATTCATCTCTTAACTTCTAAAATTCTCTGAAATCACTCAAGCCCTCAGATTTTCTCTATTCTGAATTGCCTCAAGTTTTACAGTCTATGGCCCTGTTTATATCAACATAGTAAGACTTCAATATTTATAGATAATTATAACCTACACCGATTTCTTATTATTACTGGATGACTTGTTACTATGCCAATTTTTTAAATTAAATTAAATTAAATTAAATTTAATTTAATTTAATTTCCCTAGCAAACATTTTAAGGAAAAAGTTTTTCCTTTTTTGAGGAATTAAATCACATTTTTTCCTCTTCCCTCCAAAAGAGAAATACAGTTACGGAAGCATATTATCTTAAAAGATTTTTAAAAAAGTAGTAAACCAGAATCTTCTAGAAATGTAAAATAAATTCATAGAAGTATGACAACTCATTAGAGTACAACAGATCTTGATTCCAATCCCAGTTTTTCCTCTTACATGGTCTATATGTATGAGATCATAAGCAAGTTACTTAACTGACTTTTCATTTTCTCTAAACTATGGGATAAACATATCTTTACAAGGTTTAGGGATTCATATAAAATATTGTATGAACATGCCTATCACTGGAGATTTCCTTTTCTTTAACTTGTACTCTGGTACAGATTAATGAAAAAATTATTATTTACTAAAAGTTCAGGAAAGAAGAGCCATTTCCTGGAAGTATCTTCCTATATATATATCTTGTACTGTGTACTTCCTAAGAAAGGTCCCTCATCCATGATGCTGGGAGAATCTACATATAGGTAATGGGAGGTCCACACTGTATGTACTGCTGTCCCAGCAAAGCAGAGTATATAAAGCTAGTCTCTTTTTCGTCTTAGGAAGTTGAAGTACAAAGGATACCAGAGAGAGAGGACCTCTTTTCCTGTACTCTATAAAATAAATTTAAACCCAAGGCATCCAATAATAGAAGTTGGCATCCAAGAGACTGGTGAATATATGAACAACATCAAGGGCTAAGCAGCCCTTTGATAGCCAAGAGAGTAGTTTTTCCCTAGCATTTAGAAATAACTGGTTCTTCAATTATTTTTTCAGAAATCATATTATTTTGCATGTTATCTGTAAGTGGTCACTCTTAAAACCAAAATATGGAATCTCACAGAACTACCAAATTCCTTGTGTGTTTTTTTGAAAAAGTGAAAGAACCTACGTAAATAAATACAAAGAGATACTCACAGAAGTTTCAGTAAAATATGGTGGATTGTCATTTTCATCCTCAAGTGAAATAGTAATTGTTCCTGTATTAAATAAACCAAAAGGTTGGCCCCCCATGTCTCGCACTTCCATTACTAACTTGTATGTATCACAATGCTGGAAAAAAAGAAAAAAATGAAAGAAAAAGGTACATTGATGAACACATCTATTTCCTATAGCTAGTGATTTTCATTGCCATTGAATAGGCTCTCATTATTTTATGTCTTTTTTTGATTTTTTAAAAATATATAAATATAAATAAGAAGAAGAGATTGGCTAGTCAGTACAATAGAAACCAGATATGTCTACCATAAAATTTCAAAATTTAAAGCTATTTTGCATCCACACATCACATCAGGTCAATGATCTTCATGAGAACTTGCCCAATACCTTGTGCTTTCCCCAAATCTCCTTAGACACAAAGGCAGTATCCAGAGAAGCCCAAACACAGGCTGTATGGAAACAATCTGGGAAGGTGGCCAGACTCCTCTCGGAGTTCATTATGAGTATAAATATAGTTTAGTGATTCTAAAATTAATTAATCAGTTCATTACTTCTCTATCCAGTAAAGGTGTAGTTGTGGTGATGACACCTGTATCCGGATGTATGGAGAAATGCTTTGGATGATCTGGGATTTGCTGTAAGATTTTATATCTCAGACGAGTATGGAGAGTGTCTGGTTCATCAAGGTCTATGGCAGTCACTTGTCCCACTGAAGTTCCTGTTCAGAAAAATCCCATATTATCAACAACTTAAAAGAGCCATAAAATTGAATTACAAACAAGGTATGATTGTAGCATATTCTCCCCAAAATGACAAGTATATTGATTTTACAAACAAGTGGAGTGTCTTAAATGCTCTTCCGAACCCCAGGCTCCCCTTAATTATGTGGGTATTCTGAATAACAGGGTTAATAGTCCACATGTCTTAGAACATCCACCCCACCCTTGGTTAGCGCGGTCTTCCAATTCTTCCCTCCAACCCACCACCCCAGTTCACAGGTCATTTTTGGATGGGATCTTCTTTGCATGTCTCACTTCTTTTATGGGACAACTTGATAATGTCATGAGAGGAATAGCACAGCTTTGAATATGATAACAAAGAATTTATACCTTGATATTTCAATAAATCTGCTGAATTGTTAATATATGCAAATAATTATTAATATATGTAAGACAAACATTGTATAGCAATCTGAGTATCATTTGGACAAGCTTTACAGCCCAGAAGAGTACGAGAAATGTTACTTTAGCAAATCAAGAATTATGAAAGAACAATGTTAAACATGCATGCAGACCCAATGACAAGAGAATGCAAGAGGCATTTCTTGTAACTTTTTTATTTTCAAAATAAAATGGATACTTTTGTGCCTAGGTCACAATCTTGGCTGTCTATAGCATTAAACTGGTTTGTCATTTTTTAAATTTGTTTGGAAAATATGCCAAGTAAATGTATGTATATATTGTTATAAGTCAGATAAACATTTCCATGAGATGATTTATTTCTGAATCTTTGAAAATGTCTTGAAACTTTGTAAAGATTCCAATTATTTATTGCTTTATGAATGCGTCTGTGATGTCTATGTACATGGTCAAAATAGAATATATGAATAACATTTGTCTGTAATACACATATATGCATTGTGGATTAATCTAACAAAGTTGGTAACTTCCCATATTAGCTGCCTTGTACCTACACATAGCAAAAATGAGCACAAAAAGGTTTGCCTTTGAAGAATTTATGATCTTCAAAGATTACAAGGTTTTATATAGAATATCTTTGACACTCCAGCATTGTTAAATGTTTTTGCATAATCGTGTTACAACATTACTGAGGATTTTAATCAAAGCAAAAATCTAGTTTTTTCCTGAGAGGTGAACTTACCAGTTCGACAATTTTCAGGCACACTGAAGACAGTCACTTTGTTTTCAAAATATGGAGCGTTATCATTATCATCTTCAACTTTGAACAGCAAGGGGAGTGGATACTCCGGGGCATAACCGTCTGCTGTTGTGGCATAGGCGTAGAGCTGAAGGGGAGACAAGCACCGTCCGCTTGTTTGCAAATGACACATTATGCACAAAATTAAGTCTAGCAGTTGGGAAAAGACATAATGTTTAAAAAGCCATTCATGAAAGAATATGTAACTAAGAACTTGGACGATGGAAGATACACTAGCACAGACAATGCTGCCATATGGCTTCAATCCTTGTGCAGCGTTCATGTGATTCTCCCGCCAAGGACCGTGCATTCCAGCTAAATGGAATTACTCTGTTCTCGGAATTAACCTCATAGCCTTCTGCTTGTTAGATTGTATGTAAATTTCCCCCAGCTATGCTAATAAAAAGTATTTTATTAGAGATTTAAAAAATAGGATTCCATTTATTTACGGATTTGCCTACATGTATGAATAGATATCAATGATCTTCAAATATTCAATTATCAATTATTTTCTCTGGTTACCTGCATGTTTTCATTTTTCTATCATAAACATATTTCTTGTGTAAAAAAAAGTGCCAATAAAATCATATACAGGTTCCAAATGCCATCTCAAAATGATATATGCTGGTTCCAAAGGCCAGGATTTAATGTCCTTTTCTTTCAAAGACCATCAATTTATTTCTGTACTCTTCTTATGTGGTTTATGCATTATAAGTGCTCAATAAATAGTGTTTGAGTTAAACAGATTTTCTTTACTGACAGCACCAACTAAGCATGCCCAAGGTGGATTCTGTATTAACTCAGTTATTCACCGGTCAATTCCTGATTTTCCTACCGTAACCATCTTCCAAAATGAACCAGGATTAAAATTCCAGGTATCTCCCTCCTCCTTGTCTTTCATTAGCCTTATCTGTCAGTTGCCAAGTTCTAGAGATGCTGGCATTTCTATGTCTCTGCCACTCGTTATCTCTCTTTTATTCCTAATGCCATCATTCTCATGAGACTCCAAATGTATTCTACATGTTATCCTACCAACTTTCTTGCAATTGTCCTAATTGACCTTCTCCAATATCTGCAGCACTCAAGAGTCAAAGTCATTTCCACAAAGCACAATTGTAATCCTGATATTACCTAACTAGATTCTTCAGTGATCTCTGTATCATCTACCAAAGTAATCACAAAATCCCCGCTCCTGTTAAAAGGCAACATTACATCTTCATGGTTTATCTGGAAGGGAAGAAGCTTCCACTCCAGTCTCTGGGATGGATGGTATTGAAATGACCATGTTCTTTCTGTTCCCTTATTTGCGTTTCCCCAAACAACCCCCAGGTAGACTTTGTCAGTAAGAAAACTCATACTTTGATTTCTACCAGTCTGATCACTACATCTTATTCCCAATAATTCTGAATGCAGAGTGGAAATACAGCAGTGTTCCAGCTCACCATCCCCACCAGCAGCACGGTAGTTTTCATCACCACCGTCCTGTCCGGATGTCACACTATTTGGCCTTCCTATCCATCTCTTCCTTTCCCCTCAGTGGGTTAAGGCCTCTGCCTTCAGCTCAAGTCATGATTCCAGGGTCCTGGGATCTAGCCCTATATTGGGCTCTCTGCTCCACAGGGAGTCTGCTTCCCTTCCTCTGTCTCTCTGCCTGCCTCTCTGCCTACTTGTGATCTCTGTCTGTCAAATAAATAAATAAAATCTTAAAAAAAAAATTGGCCCTTTGTAAAAACATATCATAAACATTCTCCACAGAATCACTTGTAATGAATTCTTCTACTTTATCACATTGGCATTAAAATATCTACCTATCTAACTTAAGTCCATCCTGCTGTAATTTACAAAACTTCTTACTAGTGCTTCTCTTTATCAGAAATAAAGATCATCTAGTTCCCATCATACAATCACTTGTAGTTTGACAAAATAATGTTTCCTGATGTTTAACAACAAGTTAATATCATTATCTCACCTTCCACAGATTCAGATGTGGTGATTTTGTTTCATGTACTATTTCAGATACCTGGTTTTATTTGTTTTTTGTTTGTTTGTTTGTTTGTTTGTTTTTACTAATAATGAACTAAGTATCTCCAAAATAAATCAAAATTCAAAATCATTGTTCTACAGAGGGTGATCTAAACTAGGAATATACCTAAACTTTAAAGCATAGCCTAGTTCCCTAGGAGAATCCATTTATGTCCCTGTAATAGAGAAACTAATTAAAAACTTTCTTATTTAGTCATTGAGGTAAACCCAATAATAGTACTGGTTTTACAGTAGAGTTCACATTCTTTTATACTGAAAGCAATAATCATACACTTGAATATTGCGATAAGAAGTATATAGAACATTATACTTTAAAATTAGTCATATTTTTAGCTGAGTTAGAAGAGTATTATTTAAATTTCTTATGTATTTTTAATATATTGTTTCTCCCTTGAATTCTTCTGTAGCTTCAAGAATCTCATTTCTTTTAGCCCTTTCCCACTACAATTTGCTGAATTTTCTTTTCTTTTCTTTTCCTTTCCTTTCTTTTCTTTTCTTTCCTTTTTCTTTTTCTCTTTCTTTCTTTCTTTGGGAAGATGGAAACAGTTGCCAACAGGAGTGGGAACCTGAGTTTGACCTTGTAAAGAAAGATGTCTAGTGTAGACAGGGCAAAGGTAAGAGGAGAGCAGTGGCACCAAAGCTTAGTGGGTATAGAATGTGATTAGCAACATACATTTAAAGACAATGGGTACACCTGTGTGGCTGAAAAAGAAATGCATGTTGCAAGATAACAAGGCTCTGGGAAAGAGATCAACCTGAAGCCAATTTTTCCCTGTGTATTTACAAAGATACAGATTCTCCTCAACACTCAAAGAGAAACATGTTTGTAACTGCTTTCTTTTATAGAATAGCCTGGAATGATTGAAGAAAATCCTCTACTTATACAAGAATTCTTTGAAAAGCTTCAATAAAATGGACTTATACACATTCCTGAAAGATTAGATGAATTTAATGGTCTAAGACAAACTCTTGAAACTGCAATAATGATGTGATTCATCCAGAAAAATACTTACAAGCCAAGATCAAACAATCTAACATGGGACAAGAGGGAGAGTAGGAGCACAATGAGAATGTGTATTGAATTAGACCCATGGCAACCTGTGCCAATAATTAATGAAGTCAAATTATTTCAAGTAACAATAATTGAGTAATACGTAACATTTATATAGGTTAGATAAATGCAAAAAATTGGGAAATCCCATCAAAATCCTGTTTTGAGGACAAAATCCTAGAGAATGTGTACTTTGTGACCTACCACTAGAATATTTTTAAAGAGCTGTATGGTTTTCATACTGATTTTACCAATATTTAATTTGTGTATTTAATGTTTGCAACAGCTCTGAGGTAGATAAGACAACTATTAGTAGCCTGTAAGACAGAGAAGGAAACAGATTCTTGAAGGTTGTGACTCGTCCAAGCCTAAAAGAAAAAGTGGCAGATAATGAAGATCTACTAATTTCCAGAGTAATAAGCTTTCCAATGTAAAGGTAGTAAGTGAAATCAATTTGATAGAAAAACAAAGACGTATTATTTTAATTTGCACCTCTATGTTGATAGAGAAGGCTACCATTCTACATTGCCTCAAGTGATTTCATGTTTCATCCTGTTTATATCTGGCTGTTATACTTCCCTTTACGAATCTTACTAATTTGCAAGTGGTATTTCTTGATATCAATTCAATCTTAACTATGATTTAATGGAAACTAGAGAAACATGGGTAATTCTGAAATCAAAATTATCCAGAAGCCCAACATTAAGAATAAATTCCAAACCATTTTATTTCTTTTGTCCTTTAAAAGATGTTAAAAAATAGCAAAGTAACTTTTAAAAAAAAGTAATCTCTACATCCAACATTGGGCTTGAACTCACAATCCTAAGATCAAGAGTCACAGGCTACCAACTTGAGCCAGCCTGGCACACCAATGTAACTTGTTTTTATTTTTTTTAAAGACTTACTTATTATGTATTTTAGAGATAGAGAGCACAGAGGTGAAGGGCAAAAGGAGAGGGAGAGAGAATCTTAAGCCTATTCTGTGCTGAGCACAGAGCCCCTGGTGGGCACGGTCTCGTGATCCTGAGATCACCACCCTGAGTCAGTCACTTAACTGACTGTGCCACACGGGAACCACTCCCTTTTTATAAATAAAACTATTCTCTCCTTCTGTTCTCTGTCAACAATCCAGTGAGAAGCAGCTGAAGACTTCAAAAATTCAAAGACAGGGTGTTATCAGCAGAATAAGAAATGAAATGTACATTGCAGCACACAGAGCAGGTAGCTTATTATTTCTCCTTAGGAGTGCCTACTAGTGTTAGATCTTTTCTTCTTATAATGGATCTATAAAAGGGGCAGAGGGACTCCTGGGTGGCTCAGTTGATTAAGCATCCACCTTCAGCTCAGGTCATGCTCCCAGGGGCCTGGGATTGAGTCCTGCATCAGGCTCCTTGCTCAGAAGGAAGTCTGCTGCTCCTTCTACCTGCCACTCCCCCTGCTTGTGCTCTCCCCACCTTTCTTTCTGACAAATAAATAAATAAAATCGTTAAAAAAGGGGAGGTCAGAGAATTTACATATTCACATGCACACATACCTATATCTATCTATTTTTCAACTTGATATGGTTTCTTGATAGATCAAAATGTTTGCAGTGATGCTTAGCATACCTCTCCTATTAGAATCTATGGAAGCTATTATTTTTTTCTTTTTAAGATTTATTTGACAAAGAGAGAGAGGGTGCACAAGCAGGGGGAGTGGGAGAGGGAGAAGCAGGCTCCCCATTGAGCAGGGAGCCCAATGTGGGGCTTGATCCCAAGAGCTTGGGATCATGACCCAAGCTGAAGGCAGAAGCGCAACCAACTGAGCCACCCAGGCGCCCCATAAGCTATTTCTTAAAGTAATAATTTGATATTATTATGAATAAAGTATGTTTATTCAGAGAATTTGGGTGGGAGCATAAAATTATATGGACAATATGTCATTCTAATCCAAACATTTAATTTAATTATGAAATCCCTAAAGTGGGACATTTATGTTCTAAAAATTTCACCACCTTATCTAGTGCTTTAACATCCTTAGGACAGGGTCTCCACCCGCCCCCCCCCCCAACCCTAGTCATTCACTTCTTTCATGGCTGCCTTTGTGTGGCTACCAGTTCCTGCTTATCTTTTTTTTTTTTTTTTAAGATTTTTATTTATTTATTTGACAGAGAGAGAGAGAGGGAACAGAAGCAGAGGGAATGGGAGAGGGAGAAGCAGACTTCCGGCTGAGCAGGGAGCCCGATTTGGGGCTCGATCCCAGGACACTGGGATCATGACCCGAGCTGAAGGCAGACGCTTAACGACTGAGCCACCCAGGCGGCCCCCCTGCTTAACTTTTGGATATCTGTTAAGATGTTAATTTCTGGACTACCCAAGTATGAGATAACTTCCTTTCTATGGACTCATTTAACAAAGAGTCCTTCAATTATACTCACTTCTAATTCAAGAATCTAAGCACTTAAATAATTTAACTCACCATCTCCCTGAAACTCACTGTGATTTTCTTCTGTATGTCAGGTTAGATCTCAGAACACTGAGGAGATATGTGAAGTTTGAAACAGAAAAAAGAAAGGATTTAATTTTCTGAAGTGCTGAATTTTACTTTGGGTCAAATTAGATAAAATAAGAGAAATTGGTAACTTATTCCGGATTACTAAAGAAATAAAATGATATCCAAGGCTCTCATGGTCGAAGAATAGTCAGAGAGAAAAAAGAAAAGAAGCACAATATTATTCAAGAGGTGAAAGCAGTGAACCTCAGTTTTATGATATGTTTAGAATTATGTTGGGTGACTTCAAATTTTCAGTTGCTGGGGTCCCATCCCAGAACAATTAAATCAGAATTTCTGGGAAATGACCTAAGCATCAGTATTTTTTAAAAAGTTCTCATGTGATTGATAATGTACAGTCAGGTGGAGAATAATTGAACCTGTTATTATAGGGAACTACAAACTCAATAAAATTCACCACTGTTGTCCCAGGGTTCTACAGATCAAAGCCTGTCCTTTAAAATCTGTCATTTTATTTTATAGAGCTTTTCTCCCCTTATGATATCCATTATCTTTCTTCATCAATTGTGCTAATAGAAATGTTAAGTTTACATCATACTATAATGATATTTAAAATACTAAATCAAATGATTAATTTTTCTAATATGTAAATAAGCTGTATTAAAATTACAGAAACTGTAACTGAAAAAATAATTCTGAATAATCCAATAATCTTACTGGAAACTGTTCATACTGCTCACGATCTATGCTTCGTGTACAAAAGATGTCCCCCGTGTCCTTATCTATGTAGAACAAATTGAAGGGCTCTTTGTCCACTCCTGGTCCACTTATGGAGTAAAAGATGGTGTAGTTCTGTGCGGCATCAGACTGGACCTGTAACATAAGTGACGATCTAGTAAAATAACAAATATGCTATGGTAATACCTTCAACCTGATCTGTTGTGATGCTTTAACTTTTATCACTCGCTCTCTTTTCTATTCACCTATTCTTTCCTTCCCCTGCTTCTTTATGCATCATCCCATATTTTTCAAGCTCTTATTCATACTCAGCAACATGCAAAGCCACAAACTGGATCATCTATACGATCCTAAATTTTTTTGAATTCTCTGCATATATATGGAAAATCTTGGAGTTGAACATACCTTCACAATTTCTAGTCGCTTAATCCTTACTCCTATATAAAATATAGTAACAATTTCAGTGGTTTTGAGTTATTTGAAGTGGAAACTTTTCTGATTTAAAAAATTAAAAATAACGCAACCCCCCACCCACCATTAAGACCTAATTTCAAAGCTGGCCTATTATTACACTCCAGTTAGCTGGCAGTGACATCTCTTTTTTTGGTAAACAAAAATACCGGTCTTTTTTTGTGAGGGTAAGAGTGAATTAAGGGGACAATTGGATTATGCAAAACCTATAGGCATGTCCTCTGAGCAAAGAAGAGTGAAGTCTGGTGGATTATTCAGGAGAATCTGGATATAGATTTAAAAGCATCAGAAACTCAAAATATGAAACTTGTTTGTAAATGAGGAATAGGATTCCTGGAGGAAAGTGACAAAATACACTGATTTTTTTTTTTTTAAAGTTCTGGTGAATGGGTGATCCTTATTAGTACAAACAGGTAAAAGCCCTGAAAGTTTTAAAAATAAACAAGCTATACTATATAAAGTCAAATGAGGTAAAATGTACCTGCTGAACATGTTGTGGAAATGGACCTAATGAGTTCTCCATCAGCGAACAGGGAATAGGGGCCCATCGTCTCTTGCTGCGTTTGAGAACTGTGTCTCTGGTGTGCCTCTTCTTGGGAACCTGCATGTGATGAGAGATGAAGAAATAGAGCCCAGCCTCTCAGCAGGAACCATGATTTTCACATGTACACCAATGTGAAGAAAATAAGTAGGGGTTGCACGTAATAATATCACAGGTAATACCCAATCTGTTTCTGTTTTTTATTAAGATACACACACACACACACACACACACACACACACACAGAACCAGTTTCATTCTGTTTAACCAGTTAATCAACCAGAGATTTGTAGGGCGTTGCTGAAAGATGCCATCTCGAGAAGTATTAACCCCCTAAACAGAGATTATCTGTTAACAAATATCTTAAAACTGATTTTATTCCACTTGGTGTGGTACAACCAATATTTGCTAGCTAATATACTGGCTACAGCGTTTGTAGAACTATGCAAAGATAGAGGTCAGTGTTTGTTCAAGTATATTTTATTTTATGTGATGTGGAAACTATAATATGAAAATATGAAATAATGTTTTATAACACTGCTCCTAAATTTGTAATATGTGTTATGCATGTTAAAATGCAAGCACATTCTAAATTTGGTAAAGAATTCTTATAATCAAAAGGAATATAGCTGGGAAGTCTCTCACAAGTTCAATTACTTATTCATAAGTTATTCCGCAAGACTTAATTCAGGGTGCAGACTTTGCTTAAAGTGAGATTTCTGTGAATTTCAGCAATCTCTCCCTTCCCACCTCTTGATCACTACCACTCAGGGCAAGAACATGAATGAGCCCAGAGCCAGGACATTCCAACCAGTCCTGTGGACTGGCTACACGTCGTTCTCTGAAGAGAGGGACCCCATGGCATTTTTCATTACGGCAGGAGTAAGCTGTAGACAACTTCTTTAAAGCGACTGAAACCCACAGTCACTTGGGAGAAAGCCACTCAGGGTGGAGTCCCACACCTCTAAGCTGACTCAGTTTTCACTGAGTTTTAGACACACCCCTGCTTGTTCCTTAGGTTGGTTGTGCTAATTGCCACACCTCAAAGCACTATCTGAAACCTTTGATATTTTGACCTTGCTCCCTGGCTGCAGAGCTGTTCATTTTTACACCATTTTGTAGATAGCTCTACCACTCCTTGAAACAGTCTAGTCTTTGCAAAGGTTAGTTAGAAGGGGAATAAACACACAAGCGAGCATTCAGGAACCGTGATTTGGGCGGGGAACGAAGTCTATGAAATGAAGGCCTTTTGTAAGCAGAGCATATACCTTCTTTCCTCTCACATCCAGTACAATTTCTATTTTTTTCTGTTCCTGGCTCTGGCCATCTGAAGGAAAAACGGAAAAGCTCTTCCTTTCAGAAGACAAAGTGAGGGCGTGTGTTGTGTAAATGGAGCCATCTTCTAGAATCCTGAAGTCAGGGTCGCTGGACAGGATTAGACTGGTGGCTGGGAAACATTCCTTCAGATTCACTGCAGGGAAGACAGTGGCAGCCATTTGTAAAATAGAACAGGAATAGAACAAGTTTTATAGGAATGACAACTGACAGTCCGTGAGAAGCAGAAAGAGCGAGGTGACGCTTGGAGGCTGTTGAGTACCTATTATTATAAAATTGAGGGGCCATGGAAATTAAATAACTAAATAAATGGAGTCATAGTTTCCATTATTTATTTTCATCATAAATTAATTTGTGAAGAGATATAAAATATTTTGTTACTGTCCCTGGATTTATTGTTTCCACTTTAACTCCTGCTTATGGGTTTGTACATAGACATACAAATTTATCATTTTATATGTAGTGTTACTGGTATGGTCTCAGATTTGAAACAGGTCTGCAACCATCTTTGATAACTAAAGCTGTCTTGCAAAAAAGAAATAAAACCAGTCTACACTTCAGTAATACTTGGTATATAATGGGATTGTTATCAAAATGTTTCCTTTACAGATTCATATTTAACATATTTAGCATATTTGCTATATGTCTACAGAGTATAAGTTGTATTCTCTTTTACATACTTTTAGAAGATTTAAGGATAAGGATTAATTTAGAATTTCAAAGCACAGGCCAAAATGATGTCTGCCTTGGAAAGGATACCACTTTTGTATTCAAGGTGTAAACTTAAGGCCAAAGAAAATCCTCATGAAAGGAGTCTGACCCTTGGACTCAGAGCAACCAACCTGTGCTTGAAGGATGGCTGTGATAGTGAAATTTTATTTGACTTTTACAAGCTATTCCATGTAACAAATCACATAAATTCCCGTGGTGGGACTTGTTTATTATAGTCAACCTCAAGCACAAATATTATTGGGGGGGCATTTAAATTTTAACACAACTGTTTTATATCTAATCAATTAAAGAGCATTGGCTTTGGAATTTTGGCAACAGATTAGTTGATATGAGTTAAAATGTGCCTCTGGTTTTCATGCCCTCATTAGTCTGAACTAAACTCATTTAGCCCTTTGATGTTTGCTAATTTTTCTGGCAAGAAAAGTATACAACTAACGTGGCACTTTAATTGTTTCTAACCACTACCAAAACACAAGTAGTCCATCTTTCATTTTATGTTGGATTTTAATGCCAAGTAGCTATTACAGGGCTTTATCCCAAACTTTACAAGAGCAGCCTGAAGCTAAATGTAGCAGTTAAAACTATGAAATTCTTAATGCTGTTTCTCACCTTTGCCTACAAGTGTTTCAGCCTGAAGATGAGAAGGAACTTGAAGAGAAATTTTCTGACAAGCATCACAAGATAATATTAAAACCTCAAAAAAAGAAAAAAAGAAAAAAATCAGGAATTATATTTGATCACAGACTTCCACATTACAGCTGTCTTATTGATTAAAAAAAGTCAATTTCAGAAACAAATTCATCTTCTAGTGCTTTCATATTTTTCATATTCATTTTATTTTAAAGATTTATTTATTTTATTCTAGGGAGAGAGAAGGTGGGGATGGGGAGGGACAGAGGAGAGGGAGAGAGAGTCTCAAGCAGACTCCAAGTCTGATCCTGATGCCATGAGCCTGAGATCAGGACCCCCGCCCAAACCAAAAGAGCAATGCTCAACAGATTGCCCCACTCAGGCGCTCCCATGTTCATTTCATTTTATTTTTAAAAATATTTTATTTATTTATTTAACAGAGAGAGAGAGAGAGAGAAAGAAAGATCACAAGTAGACAGAGAGAAATGCAGAGAGAGAAGGGGAAGCAGGCTCCCTACCGAGCAGAGAGCCTGATGCGGGGCTCGATCCCAGGACCCTGAGACCGTGACCTGAGCCAAAGGTGGGGGCTTAACTCACTGAGCCACCTAGGTGCTCCTCCCATGTTCATTTTAAAAGGAAAAAGCAAAGGAAATGGCTTTGGGGGCACCACAGTCATTTAGTATTAATGAGAAATTAAAATGAACAGAAGTTCTTAGAACCCAAATCGTATCGTATTATTTTTTAAAAATGGGTTACTAACAGTTGATTTTACATAGAGATTGTCATCTCTAAGTCCATTCATAAATGCCACACTGATTTCTTAGCATGAAGAAAGTACTTAACTCTGGAATTTAATGATCACATATTTGTACACAAATCATCATTTCCATACCCCCACACAATTTGAGGTTATAGTTGATTAAGGCTAGAAACCATGACGATTTTTTTTAACCTCGTAAAGAACAACATCCACAAAACTTCCCTCATCTCAGATTGCTCCTGGAACTGGTTGGCATAACCTTGAAAGTCTAAATGGTCTTGAATCAAAGAACTTGTCTAGGGGCGCGTGGGTGGCTCAGTAGGTTAAGCCGCTGCCTTCGGCTCAGGTCATGATCTCAGGGTTCTGGAATCGAGCCCCGCATCGGGCTCTCTGCTCAGCAGGGAGCCTGCTTCCTCCTCTCTCTCTGCCTGCCTCTCTGCCTGCTTGTGATCTCTCTCTGTCAAATAAATAAATAAAATCTTAAAAAAAAAAAAAAGAACTTGTCTAAAAAGAAATATAATTCAAAATATAGAAAGTAGCTGTCAACAGAGTAAAGATCAGTAACTAAATTCAAGGCATAGCTATTGTTTTAGAAAGCTAGGTAGTTAAAGGAAAGAAGATAGACTATCTGAGGAAAAAAAATGTATTGGTTTAAAAGTGTTGACACGTTTAAAACATAATTTGCTTCTTTTTTTGGCATTTTGTATCTATTTGCTTCCTTTCTGTTTATCAAAATGACTGATTTTTGATTACTTAAATATAAGATAGCACAGATCTAGATTTCCCAGAAACAGGTCAATTTTATGATTAATTTTTCTGAGAACATATTTGTAGTTTTATGGGACGTATTACTTGGGAGAAAGAAAGAGGAGTGCATTATTGTCCATAATCAGAGTGTGTAGTTCATTTCCAACTCAATTCAATTGCATTGGCTATATTTTGTCGGTCTATTTAAATAGTTTGTAATTTTACAAAAGCTCTGTTATGCAGAAAATACCCAAAACAGGAATTTGAAAAATCAATTTGTAATCACTTTAATTAATTAATTAATTAATTATATTTACTTATTTATTTTAAGTCTCCCTGTTATATGTTTTCACAACATCCCCCTATTTCCCTTCCTGGAATGTCGCATAAGTCTAATCATACAGTCACTCTGTGCTCTTTCTGTTTCCAAGCCTCTGTTCTCTCCGCTTATAAGCTACAAAAGGGGAAAACCACACCTGTCTTTTCTGTTAGAAACCCAGTATTCAGCACATGGTAGGTATTTAACAAATAGTTGCAGAATGAATTTGATGGAATTATATTCAGTTTAATTTAAATAACCACTTTTTTAAAACATAAGACATGCTTATTTATTTGACTTTTTAATATAGTTATTCCTAATGCCAAAGAAAAAACTAAATTATATCCCAAGAACTTTCCGAACATAAAGAATTCTATTAGTAATGATCTAAATATATGATGTGGAAAGAGTACTTTGTAATTGATAAAATATGTATACATATGTACAAGTCTCTGTGTATATAGATGAGTGTGTATGGATACATATATTTAACCTATATATACACACACACATTATTCTCATAGTATATAGTCACATTCCCAACTCCTATACAGATCTTTCCTTTCTGCCCTAAGACCCCACTTCTTTGCTTCTGGCTCTGTAGGCAGAGCCAATGGAAGTTTCCAGAAGTACTGTTCCCGTCTTCAAGTTAAATTAACAGCTTAATGATTTAGAGGGAGCTGGAGTCAGACACCCTTTTAGCTATTATGGGCGTTAAGGATGGATGGGCAAGGGATGAACCAAAGGAGACTGGACACAGCAGAGACCAGAAGCAAAAGAAATCTGGATGAATCCCACAGAAAGCCTTCACCACGTTTTACCTAATACTTAATTTAAGATGATCTCTGTGGTTGTTATCTGACTCCCATTCCCCAGGGAGCTGCAGAATGAGAATTTGACCATCAACCCTGCATCACATATTTATATGGAAAAAATGTTTACCCCCATACAGTGAAATCTTTAAATTCTTAAAATATACTTTGAAGCTAAAGGATTTTGCCAAAATGGAGCAGAAAAAAAGAAGAAATTCACGGCTCAGAAATGCCAGATGGAGATACGGGACCAGTACCCTTCTCCCTCATCCCCACCAAAGAAAAACAGCACCTGAGTACACACGTACAAAGCTCTAAAAAACCCAAGTGGAAGCCAACTTAATAGAATTTTTTCAATGATGGTCACATTCTTCTTTATTATTTTTCTCAGGTTAAACCCCTTGCTCAGACTAGGAGTTCTGCTCGTCTCTTAGCTCCTGGTGGGTACAATGAACGTTCTGGATAACTGCACCTTCACCCAGACTCCCTTTCCTCTTTTTTTCAGCTGAGTGGAACTAAGCATGTAAAATATCGACAGCTTATTTAATGACTGCTAGCAAAAGCAAACCTCAGAACCTCTGGGCCATATGCCCGAAGAATGAATTCATTCCACGACTCCTTGGGAAAACACCACAGCAAGACTGAACCGGGGAATCCCTTGAAAAACTCTTAACATCCAGGCAGTGGGCACGTTAAGAGTAAACAAAACACCTGCCATCCCAGGTCACGGGTCTTTCAACTCTCCCTTGAATTTTCCTCAGCTTTGTTTTTGTTTTCCCAGTCTGTCTTCTTGGCCTTCCACTGCCATCCCTACTCTCTTTCAAGCCCAAACTAGAGGGAGGAAGCATGTAGTGACATGCTTGAGTTCCCTAATCCTTTGGTTGTTACTCACCAGGAGACAGAAAAGGAGCTGCTTACAGAAGATGCTCCCTGGGGCAGCAGAGGCTACAGCCATCAGAAGTGGTCCCAATGGTCAGGAATGGTGGCTGGATAACAGGGCAGCTTGGGATGCCCAGGGTGGCTTAAGCAGATTCCCAATGGCTGGCACGTGTGCGGGGCACGCTGCGGCCACCTTGGCACAGCTGAGCTGGGTTTGGAGGAGAGTCAGAAGGCAAAGGGATAAAAGACAGGAGAAGGAGCAGCAGGAGAATTGCTTTCCTCCTATTTCCAGGCCAGTCCTCCTCCTTCCAATTCAATTACCTCTGAATGTGAAGAGGTTTTCCTACAAGTGGGGAGGGTGGGGTACGAAACACCCCAAAACCCAGTCACTAGCTCCTCCTCACAGCTTTCAAAATTTCTCCTGCCACTTGACACATAGGCAGAAGCAAGAGGGAACACCCTCCATCCTCAGCCCTCCTCCTTTTCCCCCCCAGGTTGATGCTCCCTGGTTATTACCCACTCCCACGTCCTCCACTCCTTCTTGGCCTTATTAACCTGTCTTGCCCCTGGGTGCAAAGAGAAATGGTGCACAAACTCCATACAAGGAAGTGATACCGCCTCAGCTGCAGTTTTGGCAAATCCGGGGCGATAGGCATGTGCAATCACAGCCATCAGACGTTATCTCCCCATCGAAGCGTTTAGGTGTTGTCTGCCACAGGTGTTCCGCAGCGGCTCCATGGGAGGGAGAGCTGGTGCTGCGGTCACAGCGGCGACCTCCCTGTGTCTACGCCCCGTCATCGGCTGTCCATTAGGGTTTGGTCTTCTAGGTGTCACAAAGAACTTAGCACAGTGTGTAGAGACCTCATAAGAGAATAAAGAAACAGCTGGGATATAGCTTTTTATGGCATTCTTTTTGCTACTTGTGATGCAATGAATTTTTTTCCTTGAGTGTCCTTATTTGAGAACTACGATCTGAGACCAACTGTCTTTCAAATCACACCATTCATCCTAATTACCGGTACCTCACATGCAGGCTTTCCTAGCCTAAAAGTACCATATTCCATCCTGTTCAGTTTCTTAAACACTAATGATGTTTGCAAGCATCTAAAGCATCATTTTTGCTGCCACAACTTAGTGAGTCCAGTATCAATGGCACCCATCAGCAATGATGGACGTTAGAAAAAGAGGGTACATATTTTCAAATGGTAATTGTTTCATTTGGCCTACAGAGAAGGAACTAAAATTCCTATTTCCTGAGCCACTGCTAAAAATCAGGAACCATGGCAGGCATTTCAGTTATTCCTCCCAAATAGCCCAGTGAGGGCTCCTTGGAGATGATGAAACCACGAGAAAGGACGTGATCATCCTTTGCCAGCTGACCCACAGACGATGGAGAAGTCCACATTAGAACCAGGCCTGACTGTCACTAAAGTGCTACTTTTTCAGTGTCCTCCTATTTCAATGATAAATACAGACCCATATATTGAAAAGGAGCAGAAGGTGATAAGGCGTGGGACGTCTGAGTGGCTCAGTCAGGTAAGCATCGGCCTGCGGCTCAGGTCGTGATCTCAGGGTCCTATGATTTGAGTCTTGTGTCCTTCTCCCTCTCCCTCTGCCTGCCACTCCTCCTGCTTGTGGGCACACTCTCTGACAAATAAATAAAATCTCTAAAAAGGAAAGAAAGTGATCAGGTGTGTAAGCATTCAGCCTTGCTGAATAAGCCAGATTGGGCTTATTAATACTTATTATATTTATTACTACTTATTAATACTTAAAATGTATTCAGAAGCCGTTATAACCTAATGCCTCTTTATAGCAGTCCATCGTTTGGAATACTGTGAGCATCTGGCCTCTTTTGTGAGAGTCATTCTATGGTCAAGTAAAATGGTTGTTAAACCATTTACGTTACACATCGTTCTACATGAAATTCCTCTTCCTGCTCTTGCTACTGACATTTTGACCTCGTGTTTAACTAAAAAGTAAAGGCCCAACCCAATATCTGTGCTGCTGAGAAAGGAAGGGTGAAAGATTTTCTTCTGGTTATTCAACAGTGGGAGCAATGCCTTTCCTGCATATAAATGCGGAAATAGGAATATAACTGCTTCTTTGCATGTAGAGGCTGGGAAGATTTGCAAAATAAAAGACCAGGGAACTAGAACTCAAGATACCTGGTAGTGTTTTATTGCCAAAGGTATAGCTACCAATAAATATATCCTGTGTCTGCACTGGAATTTGTTCAGAAAATAAAGTCACTTTAATTGGATATCTTCATATTTGATGCTTTGGGAGAAAAGAAAAGAATGGAAATATAGAAATAGGAATAATTATCTGACCATATATGTACAGATCCAAGTGTAATTCTGTCTGTGTATGTTTCTGCCTGATCCGGTGTATATTCATATATAGGTATATCTAAATATAGTTATAATATTATAGGTTATTCGGAAAAAGTTCTGTTTTATTTTTTTTTTTTTTTGCGTGTATGTTAGTTGTATTTTGTTCTAATCTATGTTTAAATTACCAGCATAACTGAGTGACTGATGGTGGAGTACAGTGGTTAGCAGCTTGGATTCTTCAGATTACGGGCTTACACTCTGAACCTAGATTACCTGGGCTTCAACTCCTGGCTTTACTCCTCACTACCAATATGCCATTAGGCAAGTTACTTAACCCCTCTGCACCTCAGACTCTTCATCTATAAAATGGGATAACAATAGCTGCTGATTTATAGATTAGTATGAGGATAAATGTAATAATACATAGAATGCACTTTGAACAGTGTCTGGCTCATAGCAAGTGCTAATGTTTTATACCATATAATTGCCTAAGTGTGCAATAAAACGTTGAAGCAACTATGCTTCGAGGAAAACAAACACAAAATTATTGTAAATCCAAGGTCTCTTATGTAAAAGCTACCTAAAGATGCACAAACAGATGCGTTCATTGAACAAATGTTTAAGGGTTCATATATAGGACTCTCACCTCTGCTAGAAGATAAACACCATATACAGAAAAAAGGAAGACAGACATCTTACTAAAATTTTTAAAAAAGTACAACTTTCTGAAGGAAAGTACAAATATAGTTTTCTTTCTAGTTTAAAATATAGGGTAAAAGAAGACCATAGCAAATATTAAATAACTTAGCAATTTAGAGAGAAATTAAGACTAGACAATGATTACATTCTAAATGCAGAATCTTGTAGAAGAAAAAAAAAATTTAAATATGTCACTATCACATAACCTGTTTTCCACCACTGATTTATGATCATACAGAGAAAGATTTAAATCTAAAAACCCATGTGGCCTTTATAGTTCTTTAGTTTTTAGCTTAAGACATGTTGAGAATATATGTCTTCTTGTGAATTTTCAAGAAAGTGTCTTCAGGAAATACAGTGACAAATTTCTTTCTTTTCTTACTTTTTTTTTTTTTTTAAGATTTTATTTATTTATTTGACAGAGAGAGAGAGAAAGAGAGTACAGCAGGGGGAGCAGCAGGCAGTGGGAGAGGGAGAAGCAGGCTCACAGAGCAGGGAGCCTGATGCAGGGCTTGATTCCAAGACCCTGTGAACACGACCTGAGCCAAAGGCAGACACTCAATGACTGAACCACTCAGGTGCCCCATGTTTTGTTTTGTTGTTTAATCTTAATTTAATTTTATTTTTTTCAGTGTTCCAAGATTCATTGTTTAGTGATAAATTTCTTCAGAAATATTTATGCACAGCCAACTTGTAGAAAGTGTTATCTTTGAATAAATTCAAGGCCTCAAAATGGCCATGTATTGATAGAATTATTCTCTCTGTCACGTGACCCAATTTATTTTAAAAGACTCTGGACTGGTAGGAATCTATGTACATTGATGAACCCATAACAAGACACTTTCTGTTAAATATGCATGACCAAAGATAACAAACTACAGGGATAAATAAGGGTGTGTGATCTTAATGTGGGAGGGTAGAAGTGTATGAACAAAGAAAAAGAAGTGCTTTTTTAGCTATAAAAGACACATTGGATCCCATAAATTCAATGTACCACAGTGGAAAGCCCCTTCAATTCCATTGGACTCATAATCCTTGATCTGGGCAAAAGGTTATTGAAAATTAGAAGTAATTCATAAGTACTGATAATTATTAGGAATGATTTCTTGAGGTTGCTTGCATATAGGATGGATTAATTTTACCTTAAAAAATGGCCACTTCCCATTATCAAAACTGTTGGTGAACCTATGAAAAGAAAGATCAGTATAACATTTCTGTATGATTTAGAACTCTATTCAGCACTCACACCTAATTCAAACTGGCTTAAGAGAAACAAAACAAAACAAAGTAGTTGGGGAAAAAAGGATTTGTTAAGTCATGTGATTGGAAAGTCCAGGGATATCTTGAATTCAGGCATAGCTTGAGCCAAGTTGTCAAAAGATCTCACCCAGCTGTTGATTCTCTCCATCTCTTGGCTCTTTCTTCCTGTTGGTTTCATTGTCATTCAGTTTCCTCAGTGTGGAGACAAAGATGGCCACCAGAAGCTCTAAGATTGTATTCTACCGTCTTGGTAATCCATAGTTGAAAGAGCATATCTTGCTTCCAGTAGTTTGGGCAAAAAAAAAAAATTCCACTAGCCAAATTTTGTCCATAAATTTAAAGTCAAGGGCCAGACCAGATCACATAGGCAAAAAGTGGCAGAGAGTTCATTGCCCAAAACAACTACAGGCTAACAGAAAAAGGAAGATTAATAGTTTGGCAGGCAAATATCCTCCAAACTGACCATTTCTTTATTTGTCATTTTAGTCATACCAGTTATGCACCAAATCATTTATTAACAGTGTCTATACTCTAAGTACTACCCATGGTGCTGATGACAGAAAGCTGAAGAAAACATGATCTCTGCCCTCATGGACCTAAAAATCTATTACGTATTTTGAAAACGAGTTAAAGTACTTCATACGATATAGTTAGTATTAAAATCCTGGTCAAATGCACATAATGAATATTTTAGACTTTTATTCACTTCTTGAAATTTCCTCCAATTTTTATTTTCTTTGCTGGCCTTCAAAGTTAAATGTTTGGAAAAATGTGTTGTTTTTTTTCTATGATACATGGAATCTTACTGTCAATTATTTATCTTACATATTAAAAATAATGTGGAATGCCCAGGTGGCTCAGTCGTTCGGTGTATGCCTTTGGCTCAGATCATGATCCCAGGTCTGGCTCCCTGCTCAGTGGGGAGCCTGCCTCATCCTCTCCCACTCTCTCTGTTTGTGCTCCCTCTCTTGCTATGTTTCTCACTGTCAAATAAATAAATAAAATCTTTAAAATAAATAAATAAGTAAATAAAATAATGTTATTAAATGTTTATTTTTATGGATAAGAATAGATGCTCATGACCTAAACTTGGTTAAGATAGAAAATTAGGGGGGAAACTTCAACCATGATCTAAATGTAATCTTCCGGTATGTATCTTCTAGTCTAGTTTCTGTGTATAGAATTTTA